TTATAAACTATTATTATTATTAAAATTAAACACGTATAGAAATTGTACTAATTATATCTTCAAAATAAAAACTATAATAAATTGAGTAAATTACTTTCGAATGCTTTTTATTTAGACTTTTTTAAGAAGTCATCATCATCTTCTTTCACCTTAACTTACTCCCGTAGTGTCGACGCAACAGGTTTTTGTCCTCCAAATCCTATCATACGTCACCTCAGTCATCACTCCCTTTTTGATCATGTCACCTTTCACGCAATTCATCCATCTATTTCTAGGTCTACCTCTACCGGTGTTCTCTTCCACACTCATAACTAACCTTCTCCTTTTAACATGCGATTCATCCCTCCTCATAACATGCCCATACCATACTAACCTTTTACTCCTTACCTTCTCTACTACTCTCAAACTTCCTCTAATATACACATTTCGTATCTTATCCATCTTTGTAAGATGTGTTCTACGATATTCTAAAGTTTTCGATTCGTACTGATCACACATGTGTATAATACATTCTCCAGTAATTTAATCCAAATTCTTCACTTCAAGTATACTTGGATACTTTTGTATGTATGCAATCAAGGATAACTCAGCAATCGCAAGTAAAGTTTACGTTCAACACGCACAAAAGAACTAGGCTAGCCTCGACCTGCCCTAGATACAGTGACCAAAACTCTCAGGATAGTCCTAATTCATATAAATATTACAATAAATTCTGACGATGGTGAGTATAATAAAAAAAACTTTACCTGACACATATGTTGTCTTTCTTCTTTTCCAAGACAATGTTAAATTCCTATTTTGTGCCCTATATATACCTACTAACACAATTTAATAAAAAATCTACAAAAAATAGTTATTTAATAAAATGTACCTAACTCAACTGAGGTAATTTATTTAATTATAGTTATTAAATTAAACAATTATAGTGTTTTTCTATAAAAACTGCAATCATGTTGAACCTAGTTATGTATGACATCACGCAAAGGTTTTCCAATTAGATTGTGAGAAGTTATAATTGTATATATTACGTTAATAAACAAATAAACAGAAAAGCTTTCCATAATTGTGATCACGCGATGAATTTTACACCAGTGGGGGACATGCAACCTTTTTACAGTTTTAGTTACAACCTTGATATTGAAAAGGGTCATGCAGTCCACACACGTTAGTTTAATGGTACAAGGCCAAAATAGTAAACGCTAACGTGTGTTACCTGCATACACACGCTGCCTGTTCGTGTAATATTTGTACTTAAAGTTTTCCTGTCGTCATATTGTTGATAAATCAATTTAGATAAAACATGGTAAATGATACGTCTCAAACAATTTCATATATTAGACTAGCTGTTGCTCGCCACTTCGTTCACGTGAAATTAAAAAATATATATCCCATGTTACTCATAGATAAATTTCCTTTCTAACTGTAAGCGATTTTTTTAAATCGGCCTAGTAATTTTTAAGTTATTTCAATACATAAATAAAAATATTTCCACTTTATATTAGTATAGATGTAATACCTTGCCTCAGTAACCTGTGAACACTATTTACATTGGAAACTAGAGAACATTACTAAATAACACCTAAAAGCAATATGCCATCGAGAGCAGTGCGAGAATTATTTTAATTGCGTAGAATTACGATCCCAATGTACAACACGGCAATAATTCGAGCTCGAATTTGATCAGGGTAATTGCTATGTTGTAGCAGAAATTTGGATGAGGTAAGCCAAATTCGTAAACTAAAATACATATTCTAGTCTAAACTCCTCTACTGTAGTTAGCGACGGATGGATTACGTTAAAGATGATCAAGGATCGTTCGAGATGACGGAATAATACTACCAGGAAAGAGATAAGGGCGGGAAAAATGATGAGCGAACGTCTTCAGAAGACTCCTGTTTTGATCAGTGTGTCATGTATCTTTCAATCTATATCTATACTAATATTATAAAGAGGTAACATTTGCATTTTTGTATATATTGAATTAACTCAAAAAGTACTAGATTTTAAAAATTCTTTCATAATTCAAAAGCGTATATCAGTGATCAGTGACTGATGACGTCATCAGTGGGTAATATAGGCTTTTTTTTTATCGACTTCCCAAAAGAAGGAGGTACTCAATTTGTCTGTATGTTTTTTGTATGGTAACTCCGCCCCTGGTGGACTGATTTTGAAAATTCTTTTTTTCTCCGAAAGGTAGTTTTTACTGTTTCGAGAGCTACAATTATCACCGTATATCAAATTAATTGAAATACAAATTACTGACTCCTAGTGAATTGATTGCAAATAGGGCGCTTGCTCTCCGACGTCGTTGCCGGTCTTCCTCTACAATTACGTAGAAAGCAATCTAGCTTACTAGATAATCCGGTTACGATTCCAAGTATAGAGAAGCAAGCTTCCAAGTATAGGCTCGGCTTAGTAATCTTATAGTACGATTTTACGATTAGAAAATTTTAATAGTATTTGACACAAACTGAATTCCAATTAGGACCTAGTTACTATTAAAATTTAGCTTTAGCGATTGCGACCGCAAGAAATAAAAAAAAAAACAAAACTGATAAGCCTATGTGTTCTTTCAGACTTTTTTTTACATCTATACTAAATTTCATCGTGATCAGTTCAGTAGGCTACAAACTGTAACAAACATCCATCCATCCAGTTAGATTATATTTTATTTACAACGAGCTGTTGCCCGCGACTTCGTCCGCGTGGTATAAGAAAACATACGAACTAAATAACAAAAAGCTACGTATCCCTCGAGAACCGGACATTTCTCGGGGATGAACCTCATCCCTTATGTACTCCAGACTTTGTTTTATATCTGTGCCAAATTTCAAAAGGATATGTGAAACCGTTGCAGAATGATCGACTAAACATTAAAAAGCTAAATTAACGAATCTCACAGGAACCGTAACTATTCCCGGGATAAAAAGTAGCCTATGTGTTCTTCCAGACTATGCTCTAAACCTGTGCCAAATTTCATCGAGATCCGTTCAGCCGTTTAGGCTACAAACGCTAACAAACATCCATCCATCCATCCATCTAAACTTTCGCATTTATAATATTAGTAAGATAACAAGTACAGCGTAAGTGTACCTTCATTGTAAGACGTCTACTGACTGTAATTGATTTGAATTACACTGAGATTATACGCAGGTAATGTGATTAATCTGCTCAAACCTAACACGCATACTAATGTTTGATAAGATTACCTATGGTTCATTACCACAGTGACCTAGATGAAATAGCTAAAGGGTCAATACTAATATTACAAAGAGGTAAGATTTGTATTTTTGTATTGAAGTAACCCAAAAACTATCGGGACGATTTTAAAAATTCTTTCATCATTAGAAAGGTAATTTATCTGTGAGTTACATAGGTTTTATATTATTTTTTAATTTCACGCGGGCGAAGTTGCAAGCAACAACTAGTATAATATAGTTTGGCGGTAACCTGTTGCATCTATTATTTCTTCACGTTCGGTCATGATATGGGGGAAGAGTCGAATACTTCAATCTTTTGTAATAAATTCTACCACATTAATATTGTCATTTTTTATATTACTGCTTGCTTTTGTATATCTGTTACTATCATTATTTCGTCTTCCAATTGATTCGCTGTGAATTATACACATACAAATTTGAGTTATTTCAATACATACAAAATATTTAGATTTAAAGACTTCCTATGACAAAACAGGGGAAGCAAAATTAGCCGCTTAGGTTTGCCGGTGACTATTCGCTCCAACCGCGTCAGTGCTCTTCCTCTCGGTATCATCAGTGGATCGGAGGCTATTGGCAAAGTCGACCACGAAGAATATACACGAATGTCAATGCAATTGAAACCCATTTATATTGATATCGATGTTGCAGTGTTTAACAGAGTGTGAAAATATTGGTTGTTTTTGTATAAAAAATGTCGCTGCGACAACGGGATGTTCGGTAACATTATTAACTACAAGTCGCGGAAGTGTTACGAAGGCGTCCGAAGTAGGAAATATCTCGTTACCACCACATTACGCATATACAAAGAACACGTTTGGTAACGTAGTACTTATGTTATTAGTGCATACACATTTCGTGCAATCTGATCTACGGTTTTGTTACTTAACATCCCGTCTTTATTTTGAATTATCGATTTAAATTGTAAGCTTTAATGTTAGAGCGTCGGTGGCGCGGTTGTTTAAGAACTTGACTTGTAATCTACAGGTCTTGTATTCGAATCCCGCTAAGTACCAATTCGATCTTTTGAATTTTCATATGTAGATAATTTACAAGACGTTCTTACGGTAAAGGAAAACATCGTAATGCTTGAACATATCGGCGAGGACATACAAAGATGTGTGAAGTCGACCAGCCAATTGGGCCAGCGTTGACTATGGCCTAGTTACCCTAACTTTAGGGTTGTCTCCGAGTCCCTCGGTGAGGACGCATAATGAGCTGGTGAATGTTTCGAGCTAGTATAAAACTATTAGATAAATGAGTTAATCTTTGTAGATAACTATTGTTCCGATAACGGGTAGTCAAGGGCGGTTGAAACTTCCTTTTACTACAAACGCAGGATGTACGGGATGAAGCCAAGTAGGTTACTGCTTCCGACTTTGTTAATAATTCAATGTTTATATATTGACTTTAAACCGAAGTGTTTAAGAATACTTATATGTATGGATTGTATGAAGTTTTTCTCTGGGCGCTTGTATCGATTTTGATACAGGTATCCTTCAACTCGAATTCTTTTCTTGGTGGCTGAATTCGGAAACACTAAACTTAGTAAGCCCCGCTTACAATCTGAGCTACTACTACTACTACTAAGCTGTAGACTTGTATGGTATGTGGTTCACAACAGTCGAATGGCGGGATTCGAACCCTAGACCGTAAGATCAGTAGTCCGTACCCAAACCATAAGGTTATTGAAGCTTAACTTTCAACGTTTTTCCATTTAATGAAATTTTTGTGATGTGTCAAAGGTTGTCAATTAATTAACCTATTAATTTATTGTTACAGTGGGCACAGTGAATACAACAGGAATTTCACGATGAGGGACAACGTCAAGTAAGTTTACTCTTTGTTTCATCTGCGTTAATTAATTACATTAATATGAATGTTACGTTAAACTGTATACGTGTGAAATTAAAAAAAAAACAAAAGTCAGCCTATTTATTGTTCGACTGTCACCTACATTTATGCCACATTTCATCGAGATCCGTTCAGAAGGTAAGACTACATTCTAACAAACAGCCATCCAGTATTACGATTATATTACCAAACTAAAATAAAAAAATTTTTGGTGTCAAAGATTAATAATTGATTAAAAATCAACGAATGACTAAACTGGAAGCAATACGTGGATAAGCCTTAAATAAAATTGGTATGTGTTTGAAAATTAATTTTTGCTATCTTAACCTTGTTTTAGTGTTTTTAGAGTTATACGGGCATGTGAGCAATGAAACTACTTATTTAAAACTAACAAAAAACTTTATTTCTTAAAAGTATTAGATTCTAAAAAGACTTTAAATGTAAAGTCACCCGTAACCACAATTACAAATCTCCGATATTCGATTTATTGAATTCTTTTTTTTCTCACGGCCCTATTAGCTGCCAGTTACTTCAACATCTTGTTTGTCTATGTATACTACTATTATAAAGAGGAAAGATTTGTATTTATGTATGTATTGAAATAACTCAAAAACTACTGGGGAAATTTTAAAAACTCTTTCACCATCAGAAAGGTAATTTATCTGTGAGTAACATAGGGTATATTTTTTTAATTTCTTGCAAGCAAAGTCGCGAGCAACAGCTAGTACTAATATAAAGAGCAAAGATTTGTATATTTGTACGTATTGAAATAACTCAAAAACTACTGGGCAGATGTCAAAAATTCTTTTACCATTAAAAATATACGTTATCAGTGAGTAACATAGTCTATGTTTTTTTTATTATTATCCAATTTCATGCAGGCGAAGTCCCGTGCAACTGCTAGTTAGTACATATTTAGATCACATTAATACTCGAAGCATTCGGTCAGAATATGGGGGCGCTAGAGTGCCGATAGCATTTATTCACTTTTTTATTATGTTCTCTTCAAAACTATAAAAGTCTGGCAGAGTTTCAACAGCGCGGCTATTTAAAATAAAAATGTTTTATTGCTATTACGATCTCGAGTCTACTTTTAACAAATGTTTTGACAAAAACATAGGAAGCGTTTTGTAACACCAATCACAAGATAATTTTATTGGTTTTGTAACGTTTGTGTTTTCATCACATTTACAGGTGGTTAGAGAATAAAAATGGTGATAAATAAGTGGCGAAACTGCCAACTTTATATAGTAATGTAAAAGTTACAATTAGTTACACTTAAATTTCGTATTTACAGCATTTAAAAGTGCATAGAAAATTTGATAACTTTGATAAAAATCGTCATCATTATCATACTTATCCTACTCTGGTAGGGTCGGCGCAACAGGTTTCTGTTTTCTAAATAACTCTATCATACGTCATCTCAGTCAATAACTTTGAAAAAAAAAAAAATGGTGCAGTTTATTCGCAGGCAGTAAAAAATAATAAAAATACACTCAGGGAATCCAACGTTGTTCCATTTTGACAGCTACAGTCGTTTGGACATTGTATTCACATTGAGTCATCGTCGCGGAACAATAATCAATAGCGGACGTAAAAAAAAAAAGGTTTTTTAAAGGTTTAACGAAATATGTCGGTCAAGGGTACATGGTTATTATCTCATCGCAAGCATCAATTTGTTTTATAAGTGATACACTGCAAATTACCCTGACTGTACCTAATATTGTATTTGAAATATCAACAAACTTTTTTAAAACAACACACACACACATGAGCGCTTATGTCTCAAAATAAATTGAACTATGCAATAAAGTTAAGGGGAGGTTGACAACCAGCGCGGCCTTCAGGGTCAAGCTGGAGGCCGCATCAGCTGAGCCTTCTCCTTTTGGCCGAGAACTGATTTTTTTTATTTTCATGTTTTGTAAATTTTGTTTTGTATTATTCTTGGCCCATAAATTGTGTTTTTTTTCTACATTATTGATTAAGAATTGAAACGAATTTTAACGAAAATTTGTTTAATTTCTATTTAATAATTAAAAGGTTTAAATCCTTTAGTTTGCTGTTGTATTATGAAATGAAAGTAAGAGCAAGTACTTATGTAAGAAATTGATTAATCCATTTGGTTTACGTTGGATTGTAAACCAGTTTACGAGCATTACTACCTTTATTCGGATCTTTTATGTCGCCGTAAACTGCTCCGAGTCAATTTTAAAATCATTATGCCGTTGGTTCACACTGTCGCATCTGTACTACTCGTATATTGCGTTTCTTACAAAGATAACGAAAGTGTTGACATCTTTGTTGTATTTGCAACTGGTTTGTGGTAGGGATATTCTCGATTGCAGGCCATGGTAGGCTAGAAGCTTAGAGCGTTCTTCCTTTAAATGTTCCAATGACCTAGTGCATGCGGTAGAAGGCCACTGAATATAGCTAGAGGATTCCAACATTCGATATTTTGAATATGATCATAGAGTGTCCTGTTTACTCATTCTATGAAAAACTTAAAACTTACATCTAACGTCTTTTAGAATTGTATTGAATACTAAGTAAAATAAGTTACAATGCTTAGGTAAAGGCAACATGTCGTTCGTAAGCATTACATGGCCTGTGCCCGGCGCACCTTGCGTAACCACAACCGACCACTAATAACACTAACTTATATGCTTGTCCGTGTGTTTGTGTGCACGGAATAAGTCTGCTCTCACGCAGCCGATCATGTTTTTATACTGTGGTAATGTTTTTTTTAAATAAACTGTTTTTATCTAGATAACATATTTATAAATCAATACATATTTATTATCTATGTTCTATACGCATCTGATATAAAAACTAGTTTTCGCAGGTGAATCCGTCCACGTAGAATTAAAAAACACAAAAGGAAATAGCCTATGTGTCCTTCCCTATAGTAATCAGATAGCAGCAACCGATCATGTCGAGGTTCGGCCCTCTCGGGCGCCCTTGAATCGGAATGCTAAACGCGTGTTGAGTGACAGCCCAAGCCGAGGTCCCCTCTCGGGGATCCTTGTGCCTAGTCACTCCATGGAGCGTCCACCGAAGCGATCTAAGAGCTCG